ACATGAATTGCCTCGATTCTGTTTATCCAAATATTCTCACATGCACAAAGATACGACAGATTGCATCGTTGAAAAACGATGCACTACCAGTGAAGCTAGGCAATATTCCAGTTTTCGACGCTTTCAACCAAGCCCTCCGATACACGTGGATACACACATGGGGTGGGTTGTTTTCACCGTACACTTTTGCCACATTAGTTAGATTGGTTTTTGGACACTGTTCCAAGTTAGTGACAGTTGGTGCGGAATCGCTCAATTCTGGCCATTTGATTGGCACATGTGTTCAAACACGAACACTGCAATGTGGCTAGGAGCAGCTTGTGTGTGCGTGTGTGATGTCATAGAAGCCCACATAAACGGATGATTCTCAATGTTTCCGGGACATTGTTCGTTGCTTTAGCAACTAAATGCACTCTTATTATGATGCCTAGAGAAGTGTAGCAGGATTTCAACCGGTTTTTATGTTTTGTTGGCCGTTAGTTGCTTAAGCTTATCTCGCCTAATGGCGGTTTCATCCTATCAGTGAAGCTGATCTATGCTGAAAGCCAAAGAAGCTTGTTAGGAATCATCAGCCGTGCGAATCTCACGAAACTCAGAGAGCTTCGAACCGGCGGCATTCCGGGCAGTGCTAGAACACCTAACCGTTTGGCCATAAGCGACCGATGAGCTCCTTCTTCGTCCCATAGCTTTTTGCAGTCGTTGCTAGAACACCTAACCGTTTGGCCATAAGCGACCGATGAGCTCCTTCTTCGTCCCATAGCTTTCGTGCAGTCGTACGACACTGGAACACCAACACCAATCCCGTTGTTGCTGTCTGTGACAGACGATTGCATCGGCGTTAGAAGAAGCAGCCTCCATCTTTTCTATAAACATTTCCGTCACATTGAAATAAACCAATTCTTTGTAATGCACTACTCATAAGTTTGCGAAAATCGGTTCGACAGCCCACGACCGGTTTCGCCCTTTTTGGGGCTCATCAGGTAGGCACAGTCTCCGGGTTTCCGTCAACCTTATGTTCTACTTGAAACCAAATTGCATGAAATTAACGAATATACACTCATTTGCAAACTAATTTGGTTTTTCGAGAAACTCATCTGGAACCCAGCTGAATTGCTTGTTTGTGATGTCTCCAGGCAACCAATTCTTATGCATCCCACGAAATCTCGGCCGATTGATTTGTCTCGCTTTCATTCCATCTCCCCCGTCCACTGCTGCCCCAGGTGCGAAGAAGTACGCTCTCGTGCTGGTTCAAAAAGGTCTAACACGCGCCCTCTTCCATGCGCTCTATTCTGAATCCACCGAGGCGACGCCAAGTGAGGAATTTATGATACATATTCACCAGGTACATCGCGTCACAATTCTGTAGATTTCATCTTTCTGTTCACTGGATATCATATATGTGTGCGTGTTCGGAGATAGTTCAGCGGTTAGAGCGCAGATTTACTTACTGGAGGTCCGTGGTTCGAAACTGACCTCTGCATCCCGGCTTCCCCTCTCTAGGACTTGGGCAAGCTGACAGTATCGCAGCCCTCGTAGTTCCTTCGGTTGGCCTGGCAGCTAGGCACCGAAATGGTGTTGAGGCTGAACGATTATCTTTGTCTTTATTTGTTAGTATTCAATAGCTCATTAAAGTACACGGGCTACATCTGTTTAGGAAAATAGTTCCAAGCTTGCCCTTCTGAGCTTTTGGGGAAATCGAGGTGGCAAGGACAGGTCGAGGAATACACAGAACTTTGCGTTTGGCGAAGATTTCGGTGTGCACTGACATTCGTTTGCTTTACTGTTGTATCGATCGATGTCGTCATGACGCTTCCTCTATTCGCCCCTTCAACTTAGCTCTTATGTCGAATCGGACATTTGGATAAACGCTTCGGCGTGCGTGCCCGAATCAGTCAATGCCTTCAAATTACCTTGGGTCTGCTGCGTGCTCAAGTAAGTCTCATCTCCTGTGACCGGCTTTCAATTTCATCATGCTGTAATCCTTCGCGAACTTTCTGTTCACATCCGGTGAAAGTGTGATATGCTTTAGTTTCCCGTCATCGCTATTTTAGTTTGCAGGGGTGAGATAGACCAAGTCGTTAGAGCACGAATTTTCTGACCGGAAGGTTCGTGGTTCGAACCCGACCTCTGCCTCTCGACTTCCCCTGTCTAGACTTGGACAACCTGGCAATATCCCAGCCCTCGTGCCTCATTCGTGTGACATGGCAGCTGGGCACCGAAAGGGTGCTACAGCTGAACGACTTTTTTTATGATTTTCGTTTGCAGGATGATTCTTTGCGTTGGGAATGCCCTCCATGTAGATCGGTCGCTCGCATTTGGAACACGACACACTCGGCAAATCTTTACAACTTGTGGCCCCAGAATGTTAGCGAATGCTACTCACACCTTGATTATCCGCGCATTAACCTCATCGGTAACAGTACCGTCATGGCTCGTGTACCTGTCAAGATAGGTGAGGGGATAAAAAGGCAATCTCGTTATTCTGACGTTTTTTAAAAGCACAAAACGTTTGGAAATCTTGAAGCATGACTTTGCACGGTGAATGTGCGAACCATGCTGGAACGTGTGAAGTCAAATCCGGAATTCTTATTAAAATAGTTCGCGCTTACACGTAATCAACAGACGATACATTGATGTCGCCCGCGTAATCCGAGTCCAATAATCTCTCTCTCCAGACGCGATTTTGATGCCTAGATCCATGGCCTCTTGGGATGCTCATTGCATGCTAATATTGATGATAAAATTGAACAAAAATGGGATGAGTGACAGCCCGGACAAGAACTGCTAGCTGTAGAAAACTTTGACATCTACACCTTTTTTGGAATCACAAGGCTGAGCGCCCGAGGCACAGGTCAAGTCGGCATCTGAAGGGATGCTAGCTTGGGGGGGGGGCGATTTTTGGATGGAATTCATTATACGTCATGCGAATTTGTGGCGTTCAACTCGTCCTCCATACATCTCCTTTTAGACGGCTTCCACACAAGTACGCACCTGTTCCGGAATGCTTTGTCTACCCTAGATAGGATTCCTTCAAGACCCACCAATCATGTGGCAGCACAAAATTAGATGGTTTTAGCGTTGGATGCTAGTCCGGTACTTCCTCCTTGCGTGTTGTGATGCAAGAGGCGACTGGAGAGAGCGCGGGATTGCTTCAGCCAGGGAAATGACAACCAGGATATCCAGGGCGAGACAAATACGACGAAAAACTCCCGTTACAATCCCCTTGTGTTCTTCATCTGCCTGGTGTTCAGAATGATGAATTTCACCGAACTTTGTAGTTTCTTCCCTGTCCCATCTCATCTCGCTCACTCGTGTTCTTCAAAACTTCAACACCAATAGCCCGATTTACTGGCGTGCTTATTGCACTTGCACTTGCTGGGTAATGGAGCTTGCTGGTCAGTGTGTACACTAAACTCCACTGAACGAAAATGGACACAGCTAACCACTCTGATGGTTCAGTTTTTTTAACTTTGGTGTAAATCAATGGAACTTCGGCAACAGAGAGCTCAAGCTATGTGACATAGTTTTTCTGGTTTGTATTTTTGGAACGCGTGGCTAGCTAGACGTCGCTTTATTATTATCTTGGACACAGTAAGAAACAATGTGAACGATACCAAACAAAATGTAGGCACTAGTGCGGAGTTGGTACACACAACTTGTGACATGAAGTGCAACTTACGCGTCAGTTTTGTTTGAGGTCAGTGTACGAAGTTCTGGTTTCAGTTGGTCATTTCAAGACAGTTTCAAGTCTCAGAAGTCCCATCTATTAGCCGAGCATAGACCAAGGGCTTTCTCGAATGCCTAATGGCTACCAGAACTGTTGCTCATCTGTAAGTGAGTCATTTGGTATAAACCTTGTTGAAAAGCAGGTATCCTAGCCGCGTTAATATGTTTGTTCGGCGACCAATCGTTAAGCGAATGGACGCTCTCCAGCCAAGCTACGGTGTGGCTCTCTGAGTGATAAACATCATTCAACGATGGTGTTGCCCCCGCTGAATCTAGTCCTGATTGATTGTATCGATCAATTGCTTGTAGCCAAATGGTTTGGTGTAACCCACTGATCAAATGGTCCTGGATTCGAATCTCCGTGGAAATTCCGCAGTTGTCGTTGGTTCCAAGCGAGGGCTGAATAGCTGTACACTGCTCCGTACACCGGTTATCCGTAGAGGTTCACGTCACTTGTAGGAGATGTAGGCGAGTGTTGGGAACGAAATAGGCTACCTAGGACCTGGTTCTTACCTGATGTTCACAACAACGTCATCGTAACGCTGGTACTGTTGTCACTGCTTTTTACCTGGACAATAACGCCATCTGGTTAGATTTTTCTCCTTCTTGTGACAACTTCACAGGGATCTCTAAGGTCCATGCATGCCCATAAACCATATTCGTCACTAGATTAGACGTATTCTTGCTTGATCTTGCGTATCTAAACTGTGTTCACCAAAGAGACCACTCAGTTACATGCATTGCCTGTGATTGATAAAGGTCTTTGTATTCTGCAACCAAAGAATCGTAAATAATAGACCACGCCTCACACAGAAGGCCATCGTTGCCCAATGACAACGGTACGATATACCATCGACTACTTTGTACACTAACACATCCGTAGAATCTCTCTGGTTCACTACGTCCTGTCGGGTCAAGGAAACGTTAGGTTGAACCGACAAACGAGAGCTAGTCCCCCTGAAACTGGGTACTACGAGGGAACTAACCCCGTGATCTCTCCGAGCAGTAAATGCTCGTCGATAGGGACGCCTTTGTGTACTCGCCAGAAGAGCGATATTTTCAAGGAGGCAGCTTTTATATAGAGGGTCGTTCGCGTGTAGATATGTGACTTTCCGGCAGAGGTCGGGATTTTGATGGCCGTAGTCTTATTCTCAGCTGCCCGATGTAGCAGCATCGCTAGGCTCTTCACACACAAGCTCAACCGTGGTTATCCTCACTGTAAACCGCACTATTCATATTGTTTTTACCACAGATTGCCTTATTGGGGACCTATGCACCAACTCCCGCCTTGACGGCGTCGATGCCAACGAATGCCGCTCCGGCCAATGGGCAATCCCACAACACTTCAAATTCAGTGAATCTGTTCACTGCGTATTCCGGTCACACAGGTCTGGGTTTCTGCCCCCAGTTCATTGGCACCGGATATTCAGCAGGAATGACGAACAATTCAGTTGGCACTGCATCCAACCCTTACGCTGGTGCTGTTATTGCAATCCCAAATTCATTGAACCGGAGCCTGAAAACAGTGCTTCGCACACTTCGTCTGTATGTTGTCTGTGGAGCCGGTAGAATGAATGCTTCCATTCTGGGCCGTTCTGGAGCTATCGCTCTGTTGATTCGTTTGCTAACCATCGTCGCTGGGCTCCCAGCTCCCAAACCATATCCTGGGCACTTATCTCCTACAGTCTCACCCAAGTCGTCCAACACCGTAACCAATGCGGCAACTTCGAGCGCATCCACCATCGGCCCGGTGAACCAAAACACCCTGGGAGCACAAACTGCGGGGCAGTTTGCAAGTATGGTTAACTCGGGAACAAACAATTGTCATGGATCCTCTATCGGTGTGGTACTGACAAGCGCCAGTTCCCCTATGCCCGGCCTCACTCGCACCGGAGCGGAGAACGGTTTGATTATTGGTAGTCCGATCGTGACTGCTGTCACAGCAACAGCATCAGCAGCTGCCGCACTTCATCGCCACCGTCTGCAAAATGCAACTCGACGCTCAGCCAAAACCAGTTCGGTGAATTTTCTGGCCACATCCGCCGCCTCGCTTTTGTCCGCCCCACCTTCGTTGTTAGCGATCGGAGTACGTTACCATTCCAAGCTGATTCGACTGGTACTCAATACCCTGCATTGCCTAATCAAGTGGAGTAAGTCTAGCCGGTGTATCCACCTCCGCCTGTTCACCATTATCCTCATTGATAAATGCGGCTTTTTTGTGTGCATGAAAAGCCTCTTACCATGGTAGATGACTTCAGCTGAGTGTTCTGAATCGGCTACGTGAAGGATAACACAGTCTTCAGCCTGGACGTTTGGTTAGTCCCAATTTCCCGTGAGCGATGATAATCGGCTCCAACGTTTGGACCTCAGAATACTGGAAAGTCCAGCTCTTGTGACTTGCTTAACGGTAGTGCAACTCCATATCGGTCCCTTGGTTTCTTGCTCCGCTCACTATGGTATGTCAAAAGGCACGGTACCTCTACACAGCCCTTTATGGAGACAAAGAAAAATTATTACAACTGTATTTATAGGGTAGTCACAGAGTGTTCCACAAGGTCGTGCCAGAATCTCCGTGAGGGGTCGAGAAGCGTCGGGTCAAGGATGCTCAACCCAGAGTGGGTGGTATTCTGACCAATCAGAGCATGCCTTCGTTTGGTCCGTGTCCTGCACGTGACACATCCGTCCAAATGATGTGGTGTTCGGTTATTGGGGACGGCTGGCCTCCGGACACTAGGGTTCACGCTCGGCCATCAATATCTATTTGTTTTCGCGCCTTTCACAGTCGACGTTCAATGATATCGAACAGTTTTTTTTGTGTATTTCATACTGCACCCTTGTGTGGTGTACTTGCAGGTGCACCCGTACTATTTCCATAACCATCTGTGGCTAAAACAACAGTAAGACTTGAAAGGTACATATTGCAGAACTATCGTCACGGTCATTGGATACGACCTCAACCATTCAGTCTACCTGAGCTCTCTACTTGTTTATCAGTGAACCTTGCTTAACTTCGCATCGTTTGGTCAATCTCCTCTAAGGTCACAAATACCGTGATCGTTTTTTAGCGCAGAGGAATCAATCTTATTGACTTTGAAATTTTGAAGTTCCTTCACACGTTTTCACTGGTAGTCATCAGTCAGTTTTCGGTCCTTCCTGAACTTCTTTTTACAGCAACCGAGTGGTTTGTGAAAACGAAATCATTGTGACAGTTGGTTGTATGTGGCGGATCGAGCTGGTTCTAACTAATTTATGGTCCTGATCACCGGAGGCAGGAATCGCCGAACAACCAAAAGGTTTATCGAGGCATATTTAAAGTCCTAAAGTGAATTGAAGAGAGAAGAATGGATGGGAGAAGGACCTAGTGGTGGTCTATCTCAAGCATTCTGGAGTGCCTCTAGGCGCTCAATCGGGCAATCTGCAAAGAAACTGACATCACAAACCCCAATCTACCCGCCATCTTTTGCAGTGTCTCCACGGCGTTACGGGGCCCCAGCCTGAAAAGCACACCGCGCCAACAGCACGTAAACTGTTCGTAGTCTCTTTTACAGTCTTTTGTTAGGCACGGAGAGCAACACTTCTCTCGGTAGACGATGTTTTGTCATGCGTAATCTTTATGTCTGCTGATTCGCCAATCTGTTGTATCTAGCTGCTGACCCGCCCCCTAGTGTAGTGCCGGAAAAAAAACTCACAGAAGGGAACACAACAGTTATATTCCGAACAAGCGAGTGCGAGTGCGAATGTACAACGGTCTCAAGCTATTTATTGGATGGACACTGCCTGAACTTCGTCCAATGCTAACGCACGCGGTCTGGCTTTGGTACGAGGCTGTGACGCGCTCCATATTGCAGGGGCATTGTCTGACCTTAATCAACGCTGAGTCGCACTGCCTGGGTTTGATACGAGGCTGTGACACGCTGCATACTGAGGGGGCGTTGTTTGGTCAGCATCTAGCGAACCTGAGGGTCTCAGTAGATCTCGGGCATTCAGTGGTTGCATTCGGGAATCTGACCTTCCTGATAGTAATACATGGCCGATTCACCGCAGTTGATGAGGCTGGACGTATTCCGCGACTGAAGTACCTGCTGCAAGACCGAATACCGGTTCTCTAATTACATCGTTATGGATTCGTCGATGCCATCTGACTTCAGCAATACTTCCGAGGCATTGGCGATCAAATACCTGGAAGCATTTCGCATCTTCTGTCAGCAGAGGACATGTCTCGCAAAAATACAACACGAGGGACCCTTGAACCCCATTTATATGCTTTTATGATGCCACAAGCGACGCAAATTATCAAACGTCGTTTAGGTCTTTGAGATGTCATCAGCTACTTCCATCAGAGCTAGTACAACTTCCGAAGTATGTCAAATTCTCTACAGCCTCCATTGCTTTCTTACGTTTCAAAGGGCATGCTCGGCTGCTGCGTATTCTGAAGCATGGCTTTGCACCTTGTAGGTACATACCGAAAGATGATACGACGGTGGTAAGCCTATAAAACAGAGCTTGTGCTTCGCTTTCGTCCCCAAAGGTGAGGAGGACGATATCGTCTGCATACTCCAGATCGAAACGGTTGTCACCAAACTAACTAATGGTAAAATGGCTTACTAGTCCAAGTTCCCCAAGTAGTACCATATCTTTCCAGTGACAAATGGAATGACTACAACGGTTGGAAACGGTCAAAATAGATTCCAGCTTATACCAAAATTGAACAAATAAAACTGTGAGAATCCGGAATCTGCCGCCAGCTTAGAGGGACAATTTGGTCCCCATCAAATTTGGATCGTTCAACAAGGTGCCGTCTTCACAGAGCACACAGGTTTCCATGCGGGTCGTAGATGATTTCACTAGGTCTTTACCTTGCGACTGCTTCACGAAAACACCGCCACACATATAGAATGCCAACTTATAGCTAAAGGCGAAGTGTGGTCTGTGGGTAGCTCGGATTCAATATCGAGGGTAGTATAGGGGAACAGAAATTCCAGCAATGACTTTCACTCATCCGCCGGTGTTGTCCAAGTATCATGAAAATATTTGGAACATTGTGAAATTCAAAACACGAGCTGATCCCGTCAATGTCTTCTTCAGGTCAATACAGACTGTAAAAACCAAAGCTTAAGCAAAAGTGGGTGTGAGCCGGAGTTTACGTAAACAAATGAAATCTGTTTACTTCATGGCCTGAGTGGGCAGCCGTCTCGTGGACAGACCACGAAAGTTTCAATGCAACTACGAACGCTTTCTGCCGACATGGACTCGGGTTAGTTGAGCCCATCACAACTGTCTCGGCTGTGGCCAGACGTTGATACTCAATTAATCTTGGTATAATAGTGGAAAATTGGTGCCAGACTTCATCACAAGTGAGTAACCCCCGCAATAGTAATAGACCGCATCCCACCTCCGATTCCGTTGTCAGCCAGAACGCTCTACGCTACCTTTCCACTTTCTTGCATAGGTGCCGAAATGCGTAATGCCCAGGAGGCGAGATGGCCCAAGTGACTAGAGCGCGAAAGTACTGACCGGAAGGTCCGACCTCTGCCTTTCGACTTCCCCTGTCTAGGCTTGGACAACCTGGCAGGCCTCGTGCTTCCATTTGATGGCATGACAGCTAGACACCGAAAGGGTGCTACAGCTGAACGTGTACTACCGAGTTAGATAGAGGTCTGTGGCTACATTCTATCGGAAGGAAAGGTAGATAAAGATGAGTTTCCTCTGGACCGTAACCGATTCGATTTTCTTACTCATAAGGGCCTATCTAGATGATCGCTTTTGCGCGATGTACTTGCTTTGGTTGTTATCCGGCTTTAAGTTCTTTATCTTGCCTCGTCAATATGACATCTAACAAGACAAAGCTGTTGAAGCTCCAACGCTGCAGGTTAACGGGAGACTCAACGGAATCTCTCGTGTCTAGTACCTTTTAACCCAGTGTCCTGTGCAACCGTTCTCATGCTCCATTGGGAAAGCTATTAAAGTTGAAGAATAACGTGAACGAGTGATTTAGCTAAGTCTCACTGGGATCCTCCATTAACATCAACCTACTTTGCAGTCCAATCTGGTTTTCAAGCGCAGAGTGATAGAAATTAGGAGATTAAGCCTATCTGGTGAGTCAAAAAATGATGAAAACTGGTGGTCGAATGTCCAGGAGGTTCTAGGAAGTAGTGTCATATCAAGAAAACGTTCAGTAGACCTTTACACGTGGGGCTTAATCCGGCGCAATCGACCCAGTTGGACGCTGTCTTTGGGCAAAAACCGACGCATCTATTTGCCGCAACAGTCACACCAATTTTTATTATTACGGCTCAGCTTTGCCGCCGTCCCTTTTTATATCTGGTCTACAAACTCTAAACCTCGCGACTGAAGGACAACATCGGTATTCTTCCCGCATTGTTGTCGTGTACTAGGGTGATCCACTGTTTTACGATTGCAAATAACGCGTTGAAAATGGGCGGATGCTGATGGGGAATTCATTTTAAAGCCATCTGAGTTGCTCGCTACTCTCTGCTTCCTTACTCCTGTGGTGTGTCCAGCCAGCTACTCTACTCCACTCATTTTCGCCTCAATTGAAGAACAGTTTATCGGCCAATCTTAGCCCTTTTCGTTTGATGATGTCGTGCGGCAGTTTATCTTCTCTTTTGGCAACTTTGTTTATAGAGAACAATTCCACTCGGGCGGTCGATGCTGGAGGAGTTGCGATTTTGTTGGATTTGTTTCTCGACGTCCATCGTTGCGACCTACACGGACGGCGAATCCCGCTACAACGAAGTTCTCTAGCCTGCCTCAAGTCCCTCACAGTCTCACGTGAGTTTACCGTAGCAAGAAATTCTCTAGCACCGGAATTCGTCGTAGGATTATTTTTGAACTCACGCCACCCTGCTCACCAGTATGATGGATACGCAATACAACCCCTTGAAACCGAACATCGCCCTAAAACAACACTACATCTTTCTGTGGCGGACGTTTTTTTCTACTGAATGCCACGTGTGGTTCGTTCCGCAGTTGACAAACTCGAACAGAACTGTTTTATCAAATCACCACACCAGGACTTGTGACACAGCATCAACTACACTCGGCTCTGGTGTCCGCAAGACAGCCGACATGCGATCACAGCTCTCTCTCTCAGCATTTCGTTTTAACTTTTGTTGGCAGAGACGCACCTAAATATGACCGATTTCCATTAAATAAGGTAGGCTTTTCGACGATGAACACTCACGTGCAAACAAACTTGGTACTAACAAGAGAATCCACTGAATCTCTCTCGTTAGTAGTGCTTTACAGCTGAGTATCCTGCACACAGGCCGCGTCATGTTTCAGTGGATGATGTGAGCTCCCGAAGTCCATTGCCGCTTTCTCCCTTTTGATGAAGCTTACCAGGTATAATTCATCGACCTCATGAGTAGTAGTATCGTGCGGTTCAGGGTCATATATTCCGTTGCATCTGCTGGATAAATTGGTTGAATCAGAGTAACTTGGTACATACGTGGTTAAGTCATTCAATGACCGACCACTACTGGACGTCTAGCTCGGGAGAAAACAGCAACTCTTTATTTTAGTGATTTTCCTGGGACTTTTCTACCACTTGTACCGGAATTTGTGTTTGCAATCCAAATGCTATAAGTAATTATCAAGGACAATGTCAATACCGCCGCTGTCCGTCAGGTGAACATAGCGTGATGACGAGGCCATCACGTTTACGGTACGACGTGCTGCCAACCTACTCTCAGGACAACGTGGTTGTCTGCATTCCACGTTCGCAGGTCCAAAAACTGCTGTATAGTTTAATTAGTCTTCCTCTCTTTCCATTTGAATTACACCTGGAACAGGCTCATTCCTACTCATCAACGGATCACCTGTAGGAGGGATACCCGACACAGGCATGTTTTTTCTTCCATGTGGGCTTTTCCCATGGAGGAGTTTCGCATTGCTTCCAGGTACACTTGATGTACATCATCTGCTCATCAACAGGCCGTAGCTCAGTTGTATTTTGTACCTATTGCCCAGGAGACACTTCAGCATTGAGTAAGTTTGAATTGCAGTTCGATTATGTGCAATGAAGCTTTAGACAGGTTTTAACAGGAGACTCACCCGGGGGAGTCTTCAGCAACCTTATGAGTAGTGTATTGCGTCTATACCATGCTTTTATTCTTCTTTACTACTGACCTACCAGACGTCAGCAGTTACCGATTTTGGACTCAAACTACCTAACGTTGACGGAACGAGCGTCTCCTTCGTGTCCCCCTATCCTAGAAGCGAAGTGTTTAGTGCTCTACACTGTTAATCGATAAGATTTGTGGCATGTGTGGTAAAAATCCCCCAATATGTTCGCATGAGAACCTTGTTTTTCGAAGCGTTCAAGTTTGGAGGTCCACATGTGTGCAGCCCACCGAAGCCATTGAAGGCTCTGGGGCAATACAGAACAAAGTTCGGTAAAACAGAGGAGCCGGCGTTGGATGACTGAGCCGCGATCAATATTGAAAGGAGATGCGATCAATGAGTACCCTCCTTCTTATCAAAACGCCTATTCTGATCTTCACTCTCACACCATCCATTTGGCCTTTACTATTTCATCAATTAGGACACTGTCCACATGCATCTTTGTCAACCGGATGGATCTGTAGGTCACAATTCCCTACCGTTTGTAAACAAACCAGGATGATCCCTTCTGGTTCATTGCTGTTTTCCAAATACACTTGGTTGCCAGGTAGCGTTTCCATATTTGCTCCCCGTAATCCTTGTTGGCTATTTCATCACCATCATCACCATTGACAGCATAATAACAGTGTTGAATAATGATGTTTCGCTGCCGTACGATCATAATTGATTTGGAAGCCTAATTGTGAAGAAATAAATAAAAGTAAGTTGGGGAGGGATTTTGTGACGGCCTACCCCTCCAGACCCTCTTTTAACCAATCTGATCAGTTGGATGGACTTGAATATGGAATTCGCTCTTGCAATGTAGAATGAAAACCGACCAACAACAAGCAAATTGACATACTGTAGTGCCGAAAAACGTCTACGGCCCCTCGTCCAAAGTTCTTACCAAGAAGTTTGTTGGCAGAAAGGCACTACCGCTTTCTACTTCTTGCGTTGTGGAGGCATGTGTGCATTCAAAAAGGTCTTCCGGATTGTCGTAACTTGCTGGACGGTAGTGCAACTCTGTCTCGGTCCCTTGGCTTCTTGCTACGCCCACTATGGTATGTCAAAAGACACGGTAGCTCTACACAGCCCTTTATGGAGACAAAGAAAAATTATTACAATTGTATTTATAGGGTAGTCACAGAGTGTTCCACAAGGTCGTGCCAGAATCTCCGTGAGGGGGCGAGAAGCGTCGGGTCAAGGATGCTCGACCCAGAGTGGGTGGTATTCTGACCAATCAGAGCATGCCTTCGTTTGGTCCGTGTCCTGCACGTGACACATCCGTCCAAATGATGTGGTGTTCGGTTATTGGGGACGGCTGGCCTCCGGACACTAGGGTTCACGCTCGGCCATCAAGATCTATTTGTTTTTGCGCCTTTCACAGTCGACGTTCAATGATATCGAACATTTTTTTTTGTGTATTTCATACTGCACCCTTGTGTGGTGTACTTGCAGGTGCACCCGTACTATTTCCATAACCACCTGTGGCTAAAACAACAGTAAGACTTGAAAGGTACATATTGCAGAACTATCGTCACGGTCATTGGATACGACCTCAACCATTCAGTCTACCTGAGCTCTCTACTTGTTTATCAGTGAACCTTGCTTAACTTCGCATCGTTTGGTCAATCTCCTCTAAGGTCACAAATACCGTAATCGTTTTTTAGCTCAGAGGAATCAATCTTATTGACTTTGAAATTTTGAAGTTCCTTCACACGTTTTCACTGGTAGTCATCAGTCAGTTTTCGGTCCTTCCTGAACTTCTTTTTACAGCAACCGAGTGGTTTGTGAAAACGAAATC